CCATCTAGACCCATCCCCCCAACACCTGCATTTCCCATGGCTAATGCACCTAACCCACACATCCTTGAACACTATTATGGCTAATTTAGCATGGCCAATCCACCTAACTTGCACATCTTTGCACTGTGGGAGAAAACCAGAGCACCAGAAACCCAAGCAGACACAGGGAGAACATGCAAACTCCACACTGACAGTTGCCTGAGGATTGAACTTGGGTCCCTGGTGCTGTGAGGTAGCAGTGCTAACCACTGAGCCACCGTGCCGCCCCTGAAGCCACTGTGCCATATAAATTCTAAATTTACGCAAGATCAGATTGTTATTAAAATTTCCAGCACAATTTGTATGCAAAACTGGATTTTTCTATTTTTCTCAAAGTTCTGCCCTAGGTTTATGCTTTCCTGATGGTAGAGACCATGGTGGAGTATAGCTTGTATGTGTTGGTGGCATTTTGGTGTCTTGTTCAGTTGCCCCGAGTTGAGACACGTGCCCAAATAATGGATGGTGGTAGGCTATTATCATTATGGGAGGCTTCATAATTGAGCTCATCCTGTCCTACATTAAACTGCGCACAAACGCAAAAGGTTACAAGGTCATGATCAAGTGTACGAATTGTAATTTTCATTTCCCTTTTTCTGAGGCTCTGACGTTAGTTGTTTATTTACCATGGTACGAGGTTATTTACAAATATGCTTGCTGTATTTAGAATATTGGCAGGTTTCTATAGCTGGGTTTTACTGTATTTTATAATTATCAATACCAGTGAAGCTTCAAATCAAGTATTAGGGAAAGGCAGAAAGTAGATATCATGAAAGCAGCTCCTAAGCACTGTGCTTTCCAGAAATCTGGGTTTGATTAACTATCTGTTCGTGAGAGATTAGGAAAGGAAGTTGTGAGTTGCTTGCTTTTCATGAAACTCTATTTGAACATAGATAAGAAAATAATCATAACATCCCAATCAAGAGAACTTTTGGTAACTGAATGAAACTGTTAATTACCAATAGGATATATAAAGTTCAGCAACACCAATAGTTTTAATGTTACTCTAAAGAGTAATGCTGTTCATAAATGTGAGCATGTTATAAAGTTAGCAGGACTACAATGTTAAGAAAAATAGTCAAATCAAATGATTATAGCCTCAAAGGCAGCAGCAATACAGTTCTTATCAGAAGTTTATCTCAAAAAACTGAGCTGCTTTACTGACTGTAATGACATCCTCTGGGGCTAAGAAAAATGTTTGCTCTGTTATGATGAGATTTACGCTAGAAATTCTACTTGCTGGCCCCAAAAATCAATTGACTATGATCCAGACAGTTCCTGCAGTACTGAGCCTGATAAAGTTTGTGAGGTCTGTAGAATTGTTGGGTGGTGTGCGGGGGTTAGTACTTATTTGGTGAGGAATGTGTGCCACTATAATACATATCAAATGTCCATCTATCCCAAATGGGCAACCAGACCTACCCCAGGGACCCCATGAATCTTTTCTTCAAAACTCTGCATAACATACCTGCTTCAATTTTTTTTCAAACTTTACATGAGCTTTAGAATCCAGGCTGCTTCCTTTGCTGGTCTGGTGAACTTACCCCTTCCAGCGTTAGATATACTTCATCTCATCTGAAATATGTCCCTACCAACACCCCACACTTCCAGTTATATTAAGCTGAATCTTTTATGAATGGCTGAATGCTGGTTACTTCCAAAATAGGAAGCCCCTTTTCTCTCAACCACAGCTGGTTTTACAAATGGTGAAAAGAAGCTTTGCCACTTACAAAGACTGGCAGGATTTGCCACCAAAGGTCAGGGCCCAGTGTTTCATGCTGCTTAGTCATTTGCAATGATTTTTCTAGATTCATGCAGCATGCTGTGCAAATGGAGGGGAATTTTGAACGCTCTGACTTTTTAAACAAAGTACTGATTAATTTTATACAGCATTGCATTTTGTCAATAAAAACAGCAAACATTGAGTTCTTGACATGCTGGAAGCTGTCATTGGATAGGGACAATGAGAGGGAGGAGCCTGGTGGTGAAACAAAGAAAGGATGGCTGGAATATGTCTACGAGATAAGCAATAGCAGCAGCCCAGTAACATACATTTGGAGTTAATGCTGAAAATGCTTCAATCACATCACCTCTAAAGAGCAGGGATGATGAGCATAGGAATACATTCATCTCCGTTCATCTCTATCTTGATCTGTACAAACCAGTCCTGTCACTCCACCTTTTCAAACTTACTTCAGCAAAGTACTGCTCATACCAACTTGCCTTGTGGATGCATTCATTCCTTTGTTCCTGTACTTATTCATATCTCCAGTTACTTATACACCAGATAATGGTTTTGGCATATACCTTCATGTTTATGTAAAGTTTCCTCTATTCCTCATGGTCATCCTCAATAGATGATCTCCATCCATACATCACAAGCCATTACTCTTATTCATGGGTTTCTTCTTTTCCTTCTTGCAAGGGAAGGAATTACAAAACATCAAGGAGTGACTGAGAACTAGCAAAGCTCTCCAGACACTTCTCAACTGACACCTGCAATAGGAGGAGGCACTAGATATCACTGGAGTCTTAGTGAGATTGACTGTTGGTGATAAGGAGATAGGAGTTGCTCAGCTATTTAAAGGCAGAACTAAATTGATTGAATTGAAGTGATGGAAGATGTAATTAACAGATGATGCCCATCAAGCGGCACTTCCAGGAGGTCCAGGTTCAAGTCTCACCTGCTCCAGAGGTGACAGCATGTTTGAACAGGTTGGTTAAAAATATCTATCAAGCAGAGATAGTAGGAACTGCAGATGCTGGAGAATCTGAGATAACAAGGTGTAGAGCTGGATGAACACAGCAGGCCAAGCAGCATCATAGGAGCAGGAAGGCTGACGTTT